CAAAAGTGCAGAATCACTCCAGCATCCCCTTAATGTGCTTTCAACCAATCACAGAGCCGTATTAGCCTCTCAAGACAACGCTTAAGATGATTTTGAAATAAGAATCGACTGTAAACACCGGCCTCGGGATGTCACTCGTGTTCCTACTCTGCCGCGGCGCTCGATTAGCTCGTTTGTGCGTCTGTCTCTCGTTTCGGGTGCAGAAAGTACGAAGGGATAAAAATAAATAATTAGGCGCGAATGAGCCTTGTGAGTCAAGCGAGTCGGTTCCGGCGGGAATATTCAAATTTCAACTCGTTGCTTCGAATCTGCAAGTCGGAACAGAATTTTATTAAGAACTTCGTGAATTTTAAGACTGTATTATTCATAGTATAATACAGACGAACTAAATTAGAATTTAATTAGAGAATAGATTTAAATGTAAAACTTTACATGCCGCGTATCTCGATACGTATTTTAGCTTGCATGTTCGGACGTTTTAAAATGTTTTTCGTATTTCACATTAGTACATCAAATTATAAATAGGTTTCAAATTAAAATTTTCACATTAAACTTGAGTATTAAATAAATTAAAAATAATGCATGTGTGGCTTCACCTAGTAATAAAGTACATGTTGGGAAATAAATGGCGCGCACCTGCGGTGTTCTTGCTGTTGAAAATAAGATAAAAATTGTATGTGATACAAATGTTGAAAGAACAATAGACCACCACCTGTCTTTTTCGTGAAGAAAGAAAAATATTATATAAATAATTGTTTCTCGAACATGTTAATATTAAATTGAAATAGCATATAACCATATTTATTCAATAGTATTCATTATCAATGCACACTTCCATTTATTTAACAGACAGTTCTTACAATATTTTTGAGTATGTCTCTTCATGAAATAAAGGAATGTTAATACATGAGGCAGATGTATTATGTACACCACATAATACCACATTTAAAAAGTTTATATGCTATTTAAATAAATTTTAACTGATCAATGTAAATAAACTTTATACATAAAAGTCAAGTGCACGATTTAAGCGTTTGACATCACAGCTTTTTCACATTGTACATATAATTGTAATACTAGAATATTTTTTGGTAAATATATTCAAAAAAACAGAGAAGTTTTGTCACGAGTTTCCTAAGAATAAAAAACTCGAAAGAGTATTAAAATGTATCTCCTTCGATTATTTTATCTTTCACTAGACATTCTAAACCTATATAAACGTATTACTTTTCGTATGTAAATAAAATAGCTCCTGACTATGAATTTTATAACATAAGTTTTTACGAAATAATGTACAGGTTTAATTGTTTAATTTAGGATTATTCAGGGTTATTCAGTCCGATTTCCGTTTGTTTTGACGACAAATGTCCTGAAAGTAAAATAAATATTGTAATGTCGATAACACCGATACAGCTGGCATAGTTGTCCATGTTCTAACATAAAAAATAAATTATTGCACTTTTTTAGAACTGTTAACAGCTTACTTAATTATACTAGGCAACTCCTTGTATCTACAGATGTATTTATGTCCAAGTCCGTAGGATGAATCGATTTTTATCATTTGGATGCGGGTTGTATTACTTCCAAAACTATCTAATGCCGTTTGATAAAGCTGAAACATGAAACCACTTGTAAATATTAAACCCTTAATAACAATCTATACTGTTATCTAGAAGTCCATAAATGAAATAATTATACACACCTTTTCTGCCAGAAAAACTGGAATTACGCCATCATCTTCAGCGTGTAATATCATAATGGGACAGTCAATCTTAGTAATATGCTTATCAGACTCAAAACGTAGATTATTCGTATAAAATGGTTCAACAGCCATCCAATGAAACCATGGTAAGTGCTTGAATACCTAAAACGTATAAAATGAATATGTTTGAATTGGAAACAGTACGAGTTACATCTGAGAAGATAATCAAAATATACCCGTGCAAATGGATGTTCCGTTAGTTCATCTTGTATGTTATTGAACGGTGCTTCCAGAAACAATGCTGTTGGTTGTATGTTTTCAGCCGCCAGCAGAGCTAATACATGCGTAGAAACTCTAATGTGAAACAAAAAGTTACATGATTACAAGCAATTTCAATTGATATGTTAACAATTAATTTCAAAGCAATTTATACCCGGTTCCTAAAGAGTGACCCCATACAAACACCGGAGCTGAACCATTCACTTTCTTCATCACCCATTCAAGAACATATTTACTATCCATGACTACACCTTCCTCGGAGAGCTCAACTGCATCACTATCGCCATAGCCTAAATTGAGAAGAGAACTTGAAAACTTCCTTTTAAAAGAAACAAATGTAAAACGTAAATATACATTTACGCGAATTATTCTGGATTATAAGTGCAATTGTTCAATACTCACTTCTATAATCAAAACATAAAACATGATAATCTAGGTCTTGGAAAAGTTTATAAAGTTCCAGTCTATGCGAACTTGCTCTGTTGCCACTGTTTCCATGCATGTATAGAAACACAGGTTGCTTGGCATTATTTAACACTGCTTCGTAAGCTTCATCTGTCGCAGGAATGGAATCATTTAATAAAGATCGTGGTAATATCTGCCTGCACACACAAATGGACTATTATTTAGTATAACGCAATATGCACCGTTATAAATTATAACTATCGAAGTAGTTTATAAAATTACAAACTTGATACAAGATTTACTTGTATGTACCACTCACCATGCACCTATCTTCACTTGCTGGTCGGTATGCAAATAAAAATTCCTAGCACCTTCCAGTCCAACCAATTTTGGATTGGAAAAGTCGATTTTAAGTGGCCAGTGTACTAAAATGGATTAAAATTACACATTACTAACACACAGCTATGACTCATCAATAAAACGACAAGATTATTTTAAGACTAATTTGTGACATTGTTTACCGCGTTTCACATTAACAATACACAAAGTTATTTACTTACCAAAATTTAAAAAGAGTATCTTTTTTTGCAGGGTATAAGAATAATGAAAAATTACAGGTAGAAGCCCAAATATAATGAGGTATATCAGCACAGATATCTTCATCGTCCAAGTTAAACATCTGTAATGCAGTATCTATATATGTACGTGTAGACACAGCTATAAATAATTATTAATTTAGCCAAGCTCTTGTCTATCATTGATGCAAGCAGTCATGATAGTATAGTAAAAATAATAAACTCTAGTGAGAACATTTCAAAAAGTGTGCTGTCCTAGGATCACCTGAAATCCCTCAAGTTGCATATTCTTTGCCAATTGTAAAACTAACTTTTTATCAGCCGAAAACTTGAAGTACATTTTGTTTCCATATAATAAATAATTGATGAAACAGTATCTTTTAAATAATTAGGAGGAAATGTTATCAGAACTTTAATTCGTAAGAGATTATATTACAAAGGTAATATAATATTCAAAATTATAGAATTATAATAAATGAATCACCGAGAAAAAGATTAACTTCAGATTGTTCGAAGGGCTCTGAAAGAATTTGTCAGATTCTTCATCATTTTATATGTACCTATCGTTGAACTGTACAGTGTAACAATTATTAGCTTTGCGACGTTACTTTGCATTTGCCATGAGAAAAAAAACACTGAACAGCGGTTAACAACTTCGAAAAGCAGCAACAAAGTAGAGAACAGCAACACAACAGAAAATTAATAAAGATACATAAAGCTGAATGCAATGGTTGCGTGAAAGACAAGTAAATTCGCGCACACGTAAGACCAAAGCTCCTAAACACGTGTATGAAGCGTAAGAGATAAAACCTATTCAAATACAAGAAAGTAAGGTCTTAAACAAGTTTACATTTAAACAGCAACAAACTAGCAAAGTAAAACGATATGTAATATGTAGATATTATACCTTATTGTGTTCATAGCAGTCACAGAACATATTTCATTCTTTTACGCATTTATAATTTATGAGATACACTTATGACACACAAAACAATCTTATCTCTTGACGTTTACGACACATACATAGTTATGAACTCCCTCCAACTTACGTAATTATTCGATGACAGTATACGCATAACATTACACTTACAAGTAACAATGAAAGGAAAGCAAGTTAAGCCCTTTAACAATAAGTACGAACACATATCTTATCTCTCTCGCGTGAAATTTGTATTTTATCGTTCGGTCGATTTTCCTCACTTTCACTTCACTCCGTTTTATTTATGCATGAATTTATTTAAATTGTATCGCAAAATTAATTGCGCACAATCTATATGCCATTTTGTATCAAGTCGCATCCTACATAAACCACCTCCACCAATCGTAAAATACTTACAAATGACCGTATTGGAACCAAGAATTTCCTTCGTATTTCCTAACTCGACTATTGCAATATAAAGTCGCTGAGTCATTTTTCTTTTATTCTAGTTACTTCCCTCTTTGTTAAATTATTGTAACTACACAGCCCATTTCTATCCCGCTTCATTCGCAACAGCTGACAACACAGGTGTCTACACAGACGTTTCAAGTCTAAAGTCCTCTTTGTTTCAAACGTTTAAATCGACAAGCACACTTCTGTTAACATCGACATTCGTTTTTTTTTAACGTGACAAAATGATAGGTCGCGACGAAACAAGATTGGTATTTATAAGAATAAAACGGGCAACGGTCAAATTTTATGTTTAACGTATTACGCTGCAGATTAATCATCGACTTGCAATGATTAATGCCTGCGTCGCCCCGTTCGCTGTGACTGGCAAGAATTACTGCGGAATGTGTCAGAATAAGCTGACACAATAATGCCGAGGAGAGCCGAGTCGACGTAAATTTCGCCCCATCAAAGAAACATTTATCACACTTTTACATCGTCCCGCTTAAAAAAGCTTGCAAGCTACATTACGATGCACAGTTACGTCAACAGAGGAATACAAAAGTATGTTCACAGAGGTACGATTATGGTAAAAGCCACTTACATTCCCGTGTACCAAATCTCAAGGATGACGATCGGTATTATCGCCGATAATAGTAGGTACATCGACATCATGACTTGTTAGTGGTTTACTGTGTCTTTACAGTGCTTTCTCGTCGCAAGTCCCTTCTTCGAGCAAACTTAATTCCACAAACTTGTTATGAGATACTGTATTACTGTTTACTATCTTAAGCAACGTTTGGGCATAAGATGGGCAATTTAAAAGAAGTAATAATGCATGGGATTATACATTGTGTGCGTGAACAATCCTTTGATAACGTTCCTGCATAGAAATTGTTAGAATTTACATTTTTGTCTGACAAATACAACTGTTGTACACGTACCGAGCATCGCGGCTCAATTAAAAAGTATAATGTTTCTTGAATAAAATATCTTTTACACGTGGAAATAATAACGGACACTTGAAAGTGTATAAATCTTTTAAAGATGTCTTCATTGTCACTTGTGTACGTCCAAGGAATCATTATAGATACAATTCGATAGGTTCACCTTGCAAATTGTACAACGGACTGATGTCGGGATTCAATATCTCATGTCCGTCTCCACCAACGCGGATGAAATCTCGGTTTAACTTACTTTTTATCTTCTTCCAGTCCTAAGGCCCGGTTTCACAAACGTCGTCTAACTTTAGGTTTAGTTGAATTCGTGTTTGTCTCTTGCTGAAGTTGGAGAGGGACAAAGAACGAATTGAACCAAGCTTGAAGTTAAGCGACGTTGGTGAAACCGGGCCTAAGAATTGGACGAGGACAGAAAGTAAGTTAAACCGAGATTAAGGCTAGTCTGCGTTGGCAAAAATGCTAAGGCCCTGGTTTCACCGACGTCGCTTAACTTTGAGCTTAGCTTGATTCATTTCTTGCCTCTGTCCAACTGGTACTTCAGGCCCGGTTTCACCAAACGTCGCTTAACTCCAATCTTAGTTTAATTCATGTTTGTCTCTTCCTGAAGTAACAGTTGAAACGAGACAAAGAATTAAGCTAAGCTTAACGTTAAACAACGTTGGTGAAACTGGGACTCGGAAGGAGACAAACGTGAATTAAATCGAGATCAAAGTTAAGCGACGTTTGGCGAAACCGGGCCTGAAGCATCGAATCCCTCCTTTCTCAGGCCCGGTTTCACCAAACGTCCTTCAACTTTAATCTTCAGTTCAATTCACGCGCGTCTCTTTCTAAAGTAACAGTCGAACAGAGGCAGAGAACGAACTAAGCTGGGCTTTAAGTTGAGCGACGTTGGTGAAACCGGGCCTTAAAATAAAAGATCACTTTTCCACGCACGTGTATCTTCTTTATGCACATCTCTTCGCGTACTTTTAAAGCGTTAAACGCGAGCCTCCTAAGAACAAACTATACGATTAGTGCGGCCGCTCTAGTTCCTGGCAAGACAGTTGCAAGAGTTACGCTACATCTATCGATCAAGAAACGTCCAATCGATCCCCGGACGAGAAGGGGGAATTCAGCTGTTCGGAGAACAGGCTCCTGGTGCATGCAGTTTTAATGAGGCGAGTACCTTCTCACGAAACGTTTCTTCGGTAGCCAATATACCATTATTACGACGGATCGATACAAAGCGTTTGTCCCGCTGACAGTTCGACAGGTGTCCGTACAATTAACGCACTCCTATTGTTTATATACCAATCGACAGTCGTCGCCCGCGCTGGCTACGGCGTGACGTTTGCGTCACGTCGCGACGGTGGGCACACCGGGGCGTCCCTGGACGCGAGCTCCCGTGGCCCAGCGTCCCTGAGTCGAGGGTATTTTTAACCGCCCGCCTTTGTTACACCTGCTCCCGCGCCCTTGATGCCGATCAACAATGCCCCGGGGACGCGACACCGACTGACGTCTCGGCGCGGCGTCAATCCGCGAGCGAGGTTCGTCCGAGAGTGAAAGTGACGTGAAGCTGGTAGGGGGTCGTCGGGGGGGAGGGGGAGTCCGGTGCACTCTTCTGCACTCTCCGCCGCTCTCGCCCGCGCCCGGAACGTAGACCGGTATTCATAAGTTGCTTTCCTTTTACATGAAAACTCAGATAAATCTCACTTGTGACGTCATAACTCAGTTGAATGCATGGTTCCTTTTGATTCTTGAGAAGTGAGATTCAACCAGATTTAACTGAGTTTCTGAGTATAAAATACATAACTGAGTGACTCAGTATCACTTGAGTGTAAAAGGAAAGCAGCTATAGTCAGATATCTTACATTCAAGATCGTCGTGAAATTATCTAAAGATAATTTTGAGACGAGAATCGACTGTGAACACCGGCCTGCAGGTCTACGGCCCGGAACCGCCTTTTCCGCTTCCCGACGCGCCGCTTACGGAACTGTTACGTGACCCCGCGAAGACACGCGAGCGGCGTTTTAGAAAGTAAAATAGCGAGTACAGAATAAACAAAGCGCCCAGCATTTCCGATCGCCGATCGCGACGTTATGTAACTAGAAGTCGGCAGCATTATGAAACGGTAATGGGATTACATAAAGAGTTTTACGGTGGCTCGACTAAAGAAAGTGAACGATCGGCCCGCTCGATTCAAGAATTTCAACGAGAGTTGAAAGTCGATTGATCCAAAACCCACGCGAGTAGCCGATCGACTTTCAATTCTGTAAGAGCAGAATTTCCGCGTACGTTTCCCCTTCAAGTTAATTCAAGAGTCGAGCACTTTCTGCACTTACCATCGTCCTTGAGAAAACTGTCCAGCGTGAAGTCGGGCGCTCTTGATCGCGCGCGCGCGCGCGCGCCTGTTGTTTTCAGGTTAGGGTCGGCGCGCCACGCTGTCTCCCGCAGAGGCGTTCAAAGTCGGTTCGATGCGGGAGCCGCGTCGCAAGGCGAGAAGAAGGACAGGAGAGGAGTATTGTGTATTCGTCGGCAGGTTCGCAGCGGCAAGCGGACGCCGCGTGACCTGCGTCGTTGAATGTCGCAGACGCGATGATTCCGCGTTAGTCCGAAGGATGAAGGTCGAGTCATGTCAACGCTCGTCGAGATCAGCAGCCCGTACCCCGTCGACGAGGACCCTGGCTTGCCCAGCATGGTCGAGCGTATCAGCTCAGCGGTGACGTACGACCATTTCTTCTCCAGGCATCTGGCATGCAACAGGCCGTGCGTCATCGGTCTGCAGGCGACCGAGAACTGGCCGTGCAGACGCGAATGGGTGCTGAACGGGGCGCCTAATTTCGAGGTGCTCCGCGCGCAGTTTGGTACGTGCGATAGCCGCCGAGGGGACGGAGGCCGTCGGCGTGTACATTATATTCCGTGTTCTCTCTGTTTGCCCAGGACGCTCCGTTGTCCCGGTTGCCGATTGCAACAGGAAGTTCTACAACTCGCAGTTCAAGGATGACATGTCCATGGAACGTTACTTGGAGTATTGGGTCGATTACAAGCGGAGCTGCTACGCCAAGTCGATGCCGTTGTTGTACCTGAAAGATTGGCACTGCGTGAGAAGTTTCCCCGACGTGCCGATTTACGAAGTGCCCGAGTACTTTGTGTCCGACTGGCTCAACGAGTATTACATCGCTCATCCCGCGCTAAACGACGATTACATGTTTGTGTACATGGGCCCGAAAGAGAGCTGGTAGATTTTACGTTACAGTTATTTTGTTTACTTTGCTTCGCTGACTTCCGTAACTCATTCCCGTTTATCGAGACTGATTTGGCTGTTGCTCCCATGTTCAGGACTCCATTGCACGCGGATGTTTTCACGTCGTACAGCTGGTCTGCGAATATAGTTGGGAGAAAGAGGTGGCTGTTCTTTCCTCCGCACGAAGAAGACCACCTTCGTGATATTTACGGGCAACTGGCTTACGATGCGGTTTCTGAGGAACTTAACGATCACACGAGATACAAAATGTACGATAGTAAAAAGTTAAAGTGTTTCGATGTGATTCAAGAAGCGGGGGAGATTATATTCGTGCCTTCTGGGTGGCATCATCAAGTCTGGAATTTGGTAAATGGCTGCAGAGTTCTGCAAAAGAATTTGAATTATACGCTAGCGGCGAATTAATTACGTGTCGTCCTCTGTGTAGGAAGATACAATTTCCATTAATCACAATTGGATCAACGGCTGTAACATCGCTTTTGTATGGCGTGCGTTGAAAAAGGAATTGAGATCCGTCATGAAAGAAGTTGACGATTGCAAGGATATGAAGAACTGGAACGAGCATTGCCAATTGATGCTGAAGACCTCTTATGGCATGGACTATAAACAATTTCTCGAATTTATATCATTTATTGCTAAGAATCGTTTACATGCTATGATGAAAAAGAGTCAAGTCATAAGCTTTAATAAGTATCGTTTCGGACGTAATCATTGTTTGTTTGATTTGCGAGCACTTAAAACCATATTGGAGGATATTATCACAGATGCGCAGGATCTGTCCGTGTACAATTTGATGTGCGAGAACGACGAAGCCCGCGTGTTGTTGAACAACATCGCTTCGTTTCTCGAGTCGTCTTGTAACGTTGAGAATGTAATTCGTTCGTGAACACAAAACCTAAGAAATTGTTAACAAGCAAGATTGTCAAGAAACCAATTGTAAATTTTGCTGTAAATATAGCATGTACTTTCACAGTGGCTGACACCACGTCATTATATGTGTGTATCAAGTTTTATAAATTTCCCCCCTTAACTTCATTTAAATTTTCTCTTAGAAGATAACATTTTGCTTATTTAAAAATTGCTTTTGTACAATAAGCAGATTATGTTAGATGCCGTCATAGCAGACACAAGTAAAATCTGTAAGCTAATTTAAAAAACTCAATTTAAAAGAAATTGCAGATGTATGCATCATACAATATGGTAAAAAGCAATTGTCCTAAATTCTATAATGAATAATGGCTATGTTAAAAGATCGCAGACACATGAGTGAAATTCATTTTTACTCTTAGAAAATAAGTAAACATAGAAAACATACTTTTTTTTTCTTTAGTAGAACATACACTACTCTGTAAATATAAAGATTTACAATAAAAATTTGTTACTTGTACTCTATTATTAAGCTAAAAGTGCAACCTAATCGTGGATACATTCTCTGCTGCTTGTAAAACAATAATATCTCGCAAAACGTAACTTATATCTATCTCTTTAACGTATTGTCTTATTTACTTTTCAATTATTTAAGCATAAATATTCTAATTTCTAAGAATGGCTATACATGCGTGTGCGCATGTGTGCGCCTATATGCATGTGTGTATATATATATATATGTATGTATATATACACTAGCGTATGTAGTATTTTAATAAAAATATACAAAATTTATAAGATACAAATATCACTTTTTCAGTGAGAAGTGCTTGACAAGTTTATAAACGGCCCAAGATCACGAATTTTCCATACAATAATTGAATAATGCGTAAGTATACACATTATTAGAAATTGCATATTCATAAAATATAATCCCCAATAATATATTACTTATGAATGTGCATCTAGCCCATATTATTCCACGTTTGTCCATTTCTAAATTGTCCCATCTATCGTTCCGACATTTGCTACATGTAATACAGATATGCATGATGTAAAAAGGAATTTATCATTTATGTGTACCAATACTCCAATTTCGATTAATTTTGTAAAATCTATAGAACCTCTCTGAAAAGAAAAGAACGTTAGTTTCATTATGTATCTCTTCTCTACACGATACGTCTGTATGTACATATTTATAATAAAAACGTGCTCCTCTCGGACAGGGAAGTTGTGTTCATTCCTTTTTCTATGTAACTTTCGGCTATTTATAAACTGATACAAAATATTGCACCGGCAAAGAGCTATTAAAAATGAAATGCGTAACTCTCCTCTCCTGCATATGTTCTTTTGTTTGCTAAAGAAAAAGATTGTCATGGTTAAAAATATGGTGAACAATTTTATCGCAGTGCTTGACATAAACCTTTTTCCCCGATCACATACAAACTGAGTCATAGGCGACACATGCATTCTACGACCTACATCCGCGCACGTACACACATACAACGTACACCTGTACATTTGTTGTTCCTGGGTATCTAATCTTCTGAAATTTACAATATAGTATCAATTGTTATCTTGCATAGCAAGTATATCTAATATTTAAAGCATCACATGCCACAAAGTCCAACGCATTGATCAACAATTAACCACTATTAGCAAAGTTTAGACTTTCCGCAATGTGCGCTCACTTTGTTGATAAGTAAACTCTCTTTACGTTAAATGTATGTTTCTCAATATATGTTTCCTTATATTAATTATACCGCTTAGCAAGGCTGAACAGAAGTGAGCAGCAGGATTTTACTCCCCTGCCAACATAGACTCAAATAATGTTCATCAATCAATCATCAGTTATCAAGAATCAAGTTCTATGAGATTGTTTCAAAATGTAACCGATATTCATGCCGTCGAGGGATCCTAGCATGAAAATATTGTTGATTATAAAGTAACATTCATATTGCTTCTATATTATGACTGTTTAATTTCTCTGCATATAATTACCTAACACTTGTTTCATTCTTTACATTTTCTTCTTTCTGCGTCTTAAATCTGCTAAAATATATAAAATGAATTTTCTTAACAAAGAAGTTATATTACACGAGATAAACTATTTATCTCCAAGCATAGGGGGAAACTATTTTTTCATTTTATATTTATACGCGCGTTTTCTTTTTCTTACGAAGATCATTCAACTATATTATATCACTCAATTATATAGGATGACTTGGTAGCGTCTGTACAGGTGGCACCGTCGGTGTAGCTGGTGTTGTCGGTACAGGTACTGGCGTTGACGGTATCGGTTGGTGCGTTTGTCGCGGCGGGGAAAGAAGCTCCTGCCTATCCCTTTCTCGTTCCCGACCGGGTCGCCACGCTTCCAATAAAGCTTCAACTCGCTCTTCCGTAGGTCCCCACCGCGCAGCACCAGCCGGATTTTGTAACCATACAACTAACGTGCCGTGGACCGCTCGGATATTTACTTCACCTCTGAAACGGAGAAGAAACGAATATTCGACATCCCTCTCATGTATATCGTACATCGCACACATGCAAAATCTACTCAGGATTCTGCATTATTTAATTATAAACGCACTTTGGAAGAATATGTTGAAATCCGTGTCTGTACTCGTGTTCCATAGCGGGTACTACTACTTGTTTGCGCTTGAAGTGACTGCCCTCAAGTTTTATGAGCGCATTAGGAGCTGGATCACGCCACTCCGGTAAGAACACCACGAACGACAAAGGCTCTGCCGAATCAGCCAAAAGTCGCTCAAAGTGGTTGACCATAGCTTCCATGAGTTCCTCGCAGTAGGGCGGGTTTGCTTGAAACGATCCGCTGATCGGCCTGAAGTCTAAGAATGGTCCCCTTGATCCGAAATACGAGTCCGTATCGGCGAACGCTGAGCAATACTGCCGAAAGTAACAGTTTAGAGGCGAGGCAAAACATTCGAACGTAACGCCGAACGATCGCTGAAGGCATTCAAAAACCGTCACCGGTAGAGCCATCTGAGTCGCTTGGCCCTCGTTGATTCCGAGGTACGTTTGATAGCGTTTCAACATACACCAAACGCGCGACAGAAACATTTCGAATTTCTTGTCGTCGAAACAGTTATACCTATACAAATGTTCCAGTTTCGTAAAGTGCGTATTATTAATACACATGGTGTCGCCGTGAAAGCGCAGCATTATTTGCTCGCGCTCCGGGAGGTAATCCACCTGTGGAAGTCTCGGCGTGGGAAGGGAAAACTGTACTGGATAACACCAAACTTTTCGCTGCGTGCTCGCAGGTCCTCCTAACGGTATAACATCCCCCAGACCATTGTCTTTGAGGATCTGGTTGTTCTTATCTTTCACTTTCTTCGCGTATTCGGTCGACAGATGGTAAATTTTCAGGCATATGCCTTCGACGCTGGCTTTAACGGTCGCAGTTAGATGCGGTTGACATTGTCGCTTCAGATGGGCGAGTCTGTCCTGGAAATCGTCGAACGTGGCGCCCACCGTTCTTCTCAACCACTGGAAGGTGTCTTCCGCGTTCCATTTCACCACCTTCCGACTCTCAGGCGACGCCGCCCTCGACTCGACCATCTTTTTCGCTGCTTCGGCGTAACGCGACAATTGTTTTCTAGCGTCCCCTGTAAACTTCGGCCTTACCAATTTAATGGGAATATCGTTCATGATCTCGCGATACATGGACATTGAAATGTCGGGGAAGCATTGGCTCGGCAGCAACGGATCCGAGCCGCAATCGATAACCTTCCGTTCCATCAGCCACCTGTTGAAAGAATCTTTCGGCGCGTCTATGGATTCGCGCGTGTGGCATAACTCTTGATAACACTGCCGTAGCTTTGCCAGCAGGGCGCAGCGCAGGGACTCTGCCTCGGCATGAACGTGCATCAAGTTTGATGGTGCTCGTTCATATATTATAACATTCGTAGGTATCTCCAAATCCCACGGGCCCCTGTAGCGTGACAATGATACAAATTACTTCTCCACTTTGCTCTGTAAGTATTTTCAATCGACATTTTAATAAAACCAAACACGCACGCTAGCACAAACTTTTTCACCGGTGTAACGGCTCCGTCCTCCGACGCTCTTCGTTTTAACGTGGCGCCTGGCGTGCTAGGTGGAATGGTACCATTTCCAGGCGGAGGTGGTACACCACAAATGCCAAGTGGGTCCGTGATCGGATCGAACTTCGACACACACGTCGACACATGTTACATTTTATCCCTTCGTTCTAAATTTTAGATACTTATACTTGCGACATTTTGCAGTACCTGAGGCTTCAGCGAAGGTACTACCCACAGGGATTCTCCGGTCAACTTATTCCAGAAGTACGGTCGACTTTCGCGTTTGCTCCAGAACTTCTTCCAACCTTGTTGCTGAAGCTCCAGAGATAACTCGAGTTCTGGAAAGCTGCCGGGTGGCGTGCCCTGTAAAGAGAAGGGGACCGGTCAGTCTCGCAAATTAAAATCACTCAAGGCGTGCAAGATTCCCTCTCTCTCTCTCTCTCCAGGGCATACCTGAGTTATAAGAGGTGGCTGTTGTATGTGACCGAGTTGCGGACAGTGGTCAGCTACGGTTTGCGCCGGCGCTAATATGGGCGTCTGCAGCTTGACAGGCGTAGGAACTATAACTTGGGCTACTGTTGAATTCGTATCCTGCTGCAGCGCTTGGTGGTGGTGATGCATGGCTGGCAACGAAGACACCGACTGTCCCGATAAGGCTTCCCAATTCGAGGTATTGGGCACATCTTGCTTTCCTCCGCTTACCTCGTTCATGGTTTGATATGTTGCACCGTGTTGCAAAGTACTGGAAAACGTTAAACCAAATACATTGTCGCGTGACGAGTGTCTATCGAGACACACATATTCCCTAATTACGACAACTTTATAGAAAGATTAACATATAATTGCAAGTGTACGATTTGTAACTTTATCGGAGTCGTAACACATAATCGTCATAACACGACGTAACGTAACGTAGAGAAATGTTGCATACACCTGCAATCCAATTATATATAAACGCGACAACAGTTTACAGCGCTAAAACGATATATTTCATTGAAATAAAACGTTTCCCTGTTTATCTCACGCGTATCTTTGACAATCAAAGTAACACTGTACGAAAGACACAAGGGGGGCCTGCGAGAATTCAAAAGAGGCCGCACTGACGTGACGGCGAGGGTGAGGACTCGGGACGTGAGCGTCAGGGATGCTGGCGCGAGGAGCACGCCGCGGCTCGCGCGGGTACACTCCACTCCGAATCGTGCGCGAGATCGGGCGCGAAACGCGCGAAAAAAAACGGGCGAACACGGACGATCGCGCGACGACCGCCGGGCCTCCCCGGGGCGCAGCGGCGCGCGCGACTCGGCCGCACACTCGGGTGCGTGTGGCACAATGTTTGTTTACATACTGCGGAAACGGGCCCGGGGAAACGCGCGGTTTCTCGCGCCGCGCGATCGGTCCCGCGCGCGGAAAGTGCACCGCGGACGAGAGGAGGCTTACCAGAGCTGGCGATACCCTCAATTCATGTGAGACGCGCGACGGCACTTAGAATTCATTCATGATTTGTGAAATTTGACGCGACGATATCCACCCGTACGACGCCATTTCCTTAAACTGGAGAAACGGGGAACGCACGCAGCGAGGGGGGAGAGCGCAAGGCCGCGCTCGCAACGGAGACGCGGGCGCAGACTCGCGCGTCGCCCGCTCCGGACGACGCACGCGTGTGACTGGCGCTCGGCCCTGGGGGGGGGAATCGCGCCGGCGGCCAATCGGCGGCCCGCGTTTCCGCGACTGCCAATTAAGTTGGCAGCCGACAATGCTGGAGTGTTTGCAGGACTGCGTCGATATGATCAACGTTTGGTTAGGTTCAAGAAGACTAGGTTAGGTTGAACGAGGTGGCTGATAGGCGCGAGGTAATTGGAAATGATGTTAACGCGTCAAATGTATTCGTTTATGTGGAACAAATGAACGTGGAAGAGCAAATATCTTGTGTGGGAAGAAAGATAGTCTGGAGCTGATAAAAATGTCGCTGAGGAGGACGATTAGTAATGAGATACGGAAGCAATTGTAACGTATCCAAGGTTAGCAACGAGTTAGTCTGTAATTAAGAAAGAATGTCAATAAGAATTGAAAGAGGAAAGATTTGTACTTGAATTTTTCATGTTGGCAGGGTGCACGGTGAGCGTTGCGCTTTCCCGTGAAAGTTACCCTCGAGGGGAGTAATCGCGCTCGAAGATGACGGAACCTTCATCGATGAATACAGGCCAGACGTATTGCTGGAACGCAGAGGCAAACCAGCAGAATGCCGAGTATTACTCGATTCCCCAAGTGTCGGACTTTCCCGACTACACTCAGCCTCCCAATTATAACCCTCCGTATGCTTACGACTCTTCGTATTCCGTACCTCCTCCCGCCGTGCCGAGTATCCCTCATCCGGATGTGTCGAATGTTCGTCCCCATGTCAACCCGACGAATACGATGCACCACTTCACGTCCTCTGCCTACCACGAGGCCAGTTTTTCCCCCAATATCGCTTACCAGCATCAGACGGATCCACTGTACAACAGTCGGTATTGTGGCGGAGCTGATTCCACGCCTCACGAATACATGAGAGAAGAATATGGAAACTGGAATGCTACGTCCAATAACGCGTATAATGACAACGCTGGTAGCGAATGGCACTCTAACAACTCCTCTACGAGCTGGACGACGTATGAAAATACATATGCTGCATGGTACGACCCTAGCGCGACGTCTTACGACAGAGAAAGATTGTGTCCGACGCAAGACGTGTACAAGACGTCGCAAAAGGTGGACGAGAATCTTAAATGGAAGTATGAAAACAGCTTGGACGACAGGAAAGTATTGTCCAAGTACACGGCTACCAGACAGGGATCTAGGGATCCGTATGGCAAACAGGAGAAAGTATATAGATCGCAATACGAGAAGCCCAGAGATAGACATCGTCAGCACGATAGGGAGATGTCCAGTTCGAGAGACTCTGTGCACGATAGCAGGCACCTTGAAAAGTCCTCGCCTAAGAAACACGGGAGTTATACATCTCGTGCGGAAGGAAGCGGTAGCAGCAGCAGCAGCAGCGGCAACAGGAAAAGATCCAAATCGCAGGAGCCTCATTCAACTAGAGACTCTACGTCGACTAAACGGACGAAGGGTCCTACTGAGAGGGAGATATTGTTGGCAAAATATAGGTGAGAGCTCTACAGTTGCATTGGCTCTTGCACGTAGCATTTACTTTTCCGAACGGAACAGAACGATAAATCAATCGTTAATTCTTGTCGCGTAGTATGTGCTACGTGCAAAGTTGTATATATGCGTTTACAAAATAAAAAATTAAGTAACAGGAAAACAATATTGTTCGTTGCAACTGGCTACAATTTAATTGGAAGAAACTTATTGCGAGAAATATTACCTCAGCCAGCACAATATTTTTCACAATAAGTTTCTTCTTGTCATGAGTGCGATATACCGCACATCAGATGACGACTTCGCACGCGGCAAGATATCGAAAACACCTGCCGCATGCGACGTAAACGAGTATCCGGAGCAAAGTACAAATCCATCGATACTAACAGTTGCTAACGGAACAACTGCTTACTAGACAATACGCGGCCTGACAACAGGGCCAAGCGCGATCGATATAAAAAGGAATGGAAAGGAAGGAAGGCGGGTCAATCTTAAATGAACTGTAGTCAGCGGCACAACATTCTAATTAAATTATAATCAGTTGTGTCGAATAATATTAATTTTCTGTTATTTATTCACTGGCGAAGATGAGATTGTGTTTAAAAAAATTTGAGTAATCGTAAAATGTTTTTATATCAGACGTAATTATTGTGCAACGAGCAAGGATATAAAGCGAAAGATGAACGAATTGTCGGCAATGGGGTCTAAGAGTTTACCTGAAATTGAGAAAAGGATTTGGACGCGCACGTCGCCGGCGGATCTTTACTATGTCAGGGATGAGAATAATTCGAAAATAATGAAAACTAGTCCTAAGCTACAGGAGTTGTGCACGATATTTAAGAAAGTGCTAATAGACAGAGCAGCAGCAGCCAGAGAATTGCAGGTACATTTACTTACCGTAAATTGCCTTTTGTAAAGGAATCGTGTAAAGTTATCATCTCGTTATCTTTCCTAGCCACCTTACGAACCACCTCCGAGAAAAACAAGAGCGCGTCTTTGTCGTCACAAGTCTGAAGCCTGTAGTAGCTCTTCATCCGATAGCGACACTTCTATGGATGAAGATGATAGGACGATGGAAGAGTTAATGGCAAAGAAACAGCATCCACAAAGATTGCATCCTGAAATGTGGTTTAATGATCCTGGAGAAGTAATATCGAGATATATTTTATAAATGTATTTTTTGCGTTGACATTTCAAAAATATATTGCGATCTCTTTTTAAATTGCAGATGAACGACGGCCCATTATGCAGATGCAGCGCGAAATCGAGGCGCTCGGGTATAAGACACGGAATTTATGCGGGAGAAGGTGCAATAAACAAATGTGACTTAAATACGAATAATGCGGATAAATTGTATCACTATAGAATAACGATCAGTCCGCCGACAAATTTTCTGACCAAGACACCGACGATTGTCAAGCATGACGAGCATGAATTTATATTTGAAGGCTTCTCCATGCTTTCTCACTTCCCACTGGTTAAATTACCCACGTGTAAAGTTATTAGGTTTAATATCGAATACACAATTCTGTACATAGAAGAGAAATTGCCGGAGAATTTTACAATACTGGAACTGGACTACTTTCGTAAGTTTACTAAAAAAAAAATTCCTCTCGCATTGTCTCCGTTCTAACTAAAATATTTTTAATTTCCACAGAAACGTTTTTATTCAGAGAGATTTTAGAGCTTGTGGATTTCGACCTACACGCGGCACAGGACAAATCCGGTTGCGGACAATTCCATTTTATGCCGCGATTTGTACGCGACTTATCCGACGACGGTCAAGAGATCCTATCGATGAACGAAGTCCTGAATTATTTGATAAAGAGCAGTACCTTGTTAATAAATCCAGACGATCTGACTAGATTGGTGGCGATGCCACAATACAAGTGGCAAGATTTTGCTGACGAGGTCAAGGGAATGGTCGTGACGTATCCGGGGAAAAAACCGTGTAGCGTTCGTGTTGATCAGCTGGATAGAAATCAAGAAGACCAATTATCCGATAAAGTATCGACTGCTTATCCCGAGATCGTTCACTTTGGTATTCGTCCACCACAACTTAGCTACGCAGGAAATGCAGAGTAACTATCTTACACTTGTCAATCAATAATACATAACGTGATTTAAAGCACAATCTTTTTGATGCAAAAGACCTTCGTAATATTTGTCAAATAAAGTCAAAAACAAAATGTTATACAGCTTCCAAAAATTTTTACTGACTCTTAATTAAGACGTTTAATTTTACTTAAGATAGAATTTAATGAAACATTACTTTTTTAAATTTCTGCATTAATCCAATATTTTGATTCTCAATCAGTTTAAAGAGTCATTATGTTTCTTTTTATTATATGCAGTTACATACATATATGCGTTAATCAGATTCAATCACAGAAGTGATTGATTCGACGATTTGAATGTAATTAACGCATAAGAAAAGTAAAACATGTCTTAAAATTTTTTGGAAGCTGTATGTTCTGAACACACGATGCCTGTGCACTTTAAATATAGTTTTGTATTCACAAAAATACATATTTTATCAATTTATTCAGCTACCAAAAAGCCTGGAGAGATTACGTCAAGTTTCGGCATCTACTCGCAAACATGTCGAAGCCGTCCTTCGAAGATAAGAGAAAATTAGAGGCAAAGGAGAACAAGTTGCAGGAGTTGCGTACCCAGAGCAAGATGAAGCGCGATGTCACGGTCGACGTCAGCTCCGAAGGATTTTACAGAACCGGCATTATGTGCGACATCGTGCAGCACGCGATGTTGATACCGGTGCTAGTCTGCCACTTGAGGTTCCACAAGTCCCTGGACAATCTGGAACGCACGTTGGGATACGAATTCAAAAACAGATACCTGCTCCAGCTGGCTCTCACGCATCCCAGCTACCGTGAGAATTTTGGCACAAATCCGGATCACGCGCGGAACTCCCTGACGAATTGCGGCATAAGGCAGCCCGAGTACGGCGACCGCAGAATCCACTACATGAACACGCGCAAACGCGGCATCAACACGCTGATCAACATAATGTCCAGATTCGGCGCGAAAACTGAAACGGAGTCGTCGATAGCGCACAACGAACGGCTAGAATTTCTCGGCGACGCGGTCGTCGAGTTCCTCACCTCCATCCATCTCTTCCATATGTTTCCGGAGTTGGAGGAGGGCGGCTTGGCTACTTACAGAGCGGCGATCGTGCAAAATCAGCATCTCGCCGTGTTGGCGAAGAAACTGAATCTGGAGGAGTACATGCTCTACGCTCACGGTAGCGATCTCTGCCACGACCTGGAGCTGCGGCATGCAATGGCCAATTGCTTCGAAGCGTTGATGGGCTCGCTGTTTCTTGACGGAGGGATAGAAGTGGCCGATCGGGTCTTTGGAGAGACTCTTTTCAAAGACGAAGAGGATCTTGCCAAAGTATGGGTGAATTATCCACGACACCCCCTTCAAGAGCAGGAACCGACGGGAGATAGGCAGTGGATTTCCAGCTTCGAGTTGTTGCAGGTATCGCTCAGCGTTCCAACAAACGCTTCCTTCTTGACTGTGAAATGTTTCTCTCATCTTTTCTTATGTTACCAGAAATTGACCAAGTTCGAGGAATCAATTGGAGTAGAATTCACTCATATTCGTCTTCTTGCTAGAGCATTCACAGATCGTAGTATAGGATATACTAATTTAACGCTAGGATCTAATCAAAGACTAGAGTTCCTAGGAGACACTGTGTTACAGCTTATTGTTTCCGAGTATCTGTACAAGTTCTTTCCTGAACATCATGAAGGACATTTATCGGTAAGCGATATTATTCGTTCATTTTGATTTCTTATTATATTTCGTTCATTTTTTCCCACGACACCTGGTTATTATATTTGTCACAGTTGTTGCGGAGCTCCCTCGTAAATAATAAAACACAAGCGGTTGTTTGCGACGATCTCGGTATGACTCAGTACGCGCTTTACGGGAATCCGAAAGCCGAATTGAAGACAAAGGACAGAGCAGATTTATTAGAAGCCTTTCTTGGCGCACTTTATGTCGATAAGGGTTTAAAATATTGTCACGTGTTTTGTGACGTATGCTTCTTCCCGCGCTTGCAAGATTTTATCATGAATCAAGACTGGAATGATCCAAAGAGCAAGTTACAACAGTGTTGTTTAACTTTGAGAACTATGGACGGTGGCGAGCCAGATATTCCTGTATACAAGTAAGTTTTTACTCTTTCGGCTATAATAAAAACCTTTTTCAAAATTGTAAGTAGCTATCTATATATTGTACTTATTTTTGCAAACATTTCAATTCTTGCTAAAGATATAATGATTAAATATTTGAAAAGAAATATTTTCGTAATGTGCATGATTCACTTTTTTCAGAGTCATTGAGTGTAAAGGACCAACTAATACAAGGGTGTATACAGTCGCTGTATATTTCCAAGGGAAACGGCTGGCTACAGCTTCAGGACACAGTATCCAAGAAGCGGAAATGAACTCTGCCAAAGAAGCTTTAGAAAAATCACAAGGTATTACACACAAAATGACAGAATAATATTATACAAGACAATTAAAAGATCTTCACAGATATATCACAGATATAAAATCTATCTTGTCTTAGCGAAAATTTGATTTGTCATTTTTTAATTTTCAAATAACTTAAATGCCTTGCTCGAACAAAGAATATCATATACTTATTTATATTTAAAAAGATAATTCAATATTAAAATTTTGCGATGTCTTGAAATTTTTAGTAAAGGAAATTTAATTCTTTTTGTAGATTTATTTCCGCAACTGGATCACCAAAAACGTGTAATAGCAAAAAGTATGAAGCTGCAACAATGGCCGAATAAACAGAAAATAAAGAGAAAATCTGACAAAAGGTTCTCTGTCCACGATAGATCCGATGATTCTGACTGTAGTCAAAGTCGAAGAAGAAGTCGTAGCAGAGAACGTAATACCTCGAAAAAGAGAGATACTTAGTTTCTTACCCTTTTATTGTCATTATCAATGTAATAAATGCATCATGATTTTTATTATCTTCAGAGGAAGATATCAAATATCAAAATGATATTGGTACAGTTTTACCTATATATTTTCTGTGTCCGTACATCACTTGTCCCATAATAGAATAATCTCGATTTTCATCCATTGCATTCAAATCCTTTTTCAGACATCAATAGGTGAACAATATGAGAAACTGTGATATTAATATTGATTTAAACAGAATTGATAGAAATATGACAGTATTTTTGTGCTCAATCATTTCAACGTGATCTAATCGAACGAACGATAGGCATACAATGAACATAGACAAGATTAGCGCGAAATTGCGAGCCTACGATAAAATACGATTGGTACCAAACGGAGACCCACGTGGTCGTCGTTCTATTGATTTGCAGATCTAGATTATTCTCTCATGGAACGAGGAACATTGTATATGTATAAATCATTACAGCTGTCTTCCTGTTTGCTAACAATTTACATAGCCTACTTTTTACTATGTACATCTGGTTAAAATTTAGAAAATATTTTAGTTACCCCGTTTTATCAATATTGGATTTATCTCTTTCTTTCAGTATCGGATTATATTGCTTCAATAAATCTCTGTTTTTCCTAATTATAGCGTTACACTGTTGAATATTGTCACAAAAGTTTTCCAACTCCCAATGTTTTGTCATTAGAGCATGATTTAGATCAAATAACGCATACCGGAAACACTGTATCTGAGTGCACGTAGCGACACTGCGGAGCTGCAGTCCCAGCTCATGAACCACAGTTTTCAAATACATGCTGTCCTCATTTACGCAAACGATTTCTGAAAAGATTCAATTATTATCCATACGGTTTACGCTCAACAGATATTATTTACGATGCTCACCTAATGTGAATTCAGGAGATGTGAAGTCTACACATTTTATGGTATATATCATTGGGATGTTAGCCTCGGCAGGTCTCACGGGACCTTGTACAGCTAAATCGTACGCAGCTTGACTCTGCACATCCACTCCGCATAATCTATACAAGAGTCGGTATAAATTAAATCACATAATTAACGAATACCACGCGTACTTGTCGCAAAACGTACTCGAACATCTTGCTTTGATGCGCAGTCTGCATGGCAGCGCAGACTTTGTCTATCGCCTCGCGCCTGATACGTTTATATGTAGCTTTCTCGACGATCTTCCCGGTTATGAAGTACGTGTCCGTTGCCTGCCCTAAGCGACCTTTGACCTTGTAACTAATCGGAGACTTGGAGTCCTTCAATCTGTGAGACCACCTGGTGCCATCGTTGAGACCGCAGACCAAGAGACCCGACATTTCTTTGCTCAGGTAATTAGCGCACATCAATTTGAAGTCCTTGGGTTGATATCGCGGACCTACGACCAACGGGTGATCCGCATAGCTCGGGTGCGAGTACACCTTCATCCTCTTTGTTGTATCACCTTCGATGCACACATGTTTGATCGCTGGACGTACGTGCATATTGTTCAAATCTAAAAATAGGGAATTGTTATTGAGGCCATTGCCTTTTTTTCTAAGGTAACGCCATCTTCCTAATTGCAATCTTCACTTAAGTCTATCTTGTTTACTCCAGGCAACGTATTCTTTTTTTCAAGTAGGAAATAGCGGTTGGCAGAGGAGAAAGAGAGCCGCTGCTTTTTCCAGCTGTTTCACTTTATATTTAAAATAAAACGACAGATTTGGAAGGAACGGAGGAACAAGAAGTGGATTCAACTAGGCCAGATCAGACATTATCAGTCATCTATAGGACTGATTTAAGGCGTTCGAACCTTCGCAGAGACGTTGAATTATGGTATCCCGTGCGTTTAAGTTGGTGATCAGTGGCGGCTTGTAAACAGCAAACACTCCATTTAACGCTTTCCACGCTATTCTAGCGTCGGAGGTCTTTATCGTCTGGATCAGAGCAGTCATACTTCTCGCGCGTCAAGTCCGAGGGAGAATCGTTCACTGACAAAACCGCGTTTTACTGACGACGTGGTAACACAGCGTCTTCCTCGAATATTGTCACAGGTGCTAAGGGACAACGAGTTTTACAATAAACGCTCGTTAAAGAAAGGATCTATCGTCGCCGAAATCACTGTATCTGTTTATACGTATGTAAATACACATGTGCGTGTCTCCCGTCTCTTTCTAGCATTCGCTCACGTGGTCGCTACAGGCAGAGGCGACGCAGCACGAGAGGGAAGACGCGGTCGTCGTCGCCGGTAAAAAGCCCGGACGCAATCGACACGGAAGTCAAAGGGTGTGTTCTGTTTCACGCATGACATGCACGATGCATCATTTATTCTTCTTCAGTATTTGGTGAATAACAATTGTCCAGACAACATGCATGTCTAGGCCTGTGTCCACGATGCTAGAACTTGGTCCAAGTTCTAGCTTGGAGAAACGTGTGGCCAATCAGCTTGCAGCTATTCCACAAAAGCTGCACGTTGATTGGCCAAACGTTTCCCGGAACTAGAACTTGGACCAAGTTCTAGCATCGTGGACACAGGCCTTTAAAGCCTCCGCTACAATGATTCTCGGTTCTGTCTACAATGGTCGTAAGGCTGGGTCTACATTGGATGTCGTAAG